ATAACAGATCTAGAGGAAATCAATGCAGAATATATTAGATAGAACAATCAGGGGTATTTTAAAACTTTATAACAAACCCACCTGGTTGTTAGGGTTAAGGTTAGGTAAGCTGCTACTGATTTCATTATGTTGTTGAATGGCCTAACAATCAATGACTGTCGTGACCGGCTCACACAACACTGAATCAATTCACTGTGTCAAATAACTCTTACCGTAGTCGTACTCTGCAGCACAGAAGAGTTTAGGGCTGCCGAGCGTTAATTCAACACATTCGCATTTCTCTGAGGAGAGTGAAACATAATCAATAAGCTTTGTGTATAAATCTTTTCATCGTGACGTTATGGATTTCTAGAACAAAAACAGCAGCATGGGGGAGTGTGCAGTGTATTAAGTTGTGAGAGACTCACCAGAGTGGTGCAGTGCAGAGAAAAGCTCCTCTGCCCTAAAGAGTGCCGTCTCACTATTATTGCTGCTGTGTCCCATGTGGCCAGTGACTGTATAGAAGACCTCCACGTCTGAGCTGTGGTGCAGAGGTAAGACACCAGTCAGGTTCAGGGCTCGCTCAGCGTTAATAACCCAGAATGCACTCTACCACAATACATAACTTTATATAATACATACGGCTACGTCTTGGCTCTCACCCAGAAATGCAGTCCCCGGTATAGGGGTCACAGTCCCCCGTACAGTCGCATGGGCGGCAGCCGTATTCGTGCAGCCCCCAGTATCCCATCATGCAGCTGTCACAGCGGTGGCCGCCTACGCCAGGCTTGCAAGTGCACTCCCCGCTGGTAGGGTTGCAGAGAGGGCTCCCACCCGAGAGGACGGCGCCGACAGGGTGGCATGAACAGGCTGCAGAGGAGAGAGGTGATGGAACAGGATCATATGTTAACATCACTGAGTCAGTTGCAGCAGTAGACATTATGCTCATGCATGTATAGAAAGGGCAAATGCACTTGTAGAAGAAAAACAAACATATTTAATGAGTAACTCCCACGACAGTATAAAAGTTAAATATATTTCATCATCCTATTGCTGGGCATATACACTGGATTAAGCAGCTGCAGCAAAAACAAACTAGCAATAAATCAGTGGAATCTGTCTGCACCATCAGACTCACAGCCCGATGATTCTAATTGGTAGGAACTTGCTTCATCTGTTTTCAGTATGAAAAAAAAAAGTATGTTTGCTCTTAAAAATGCTGCAGCATGTCTGGCTAGGGGGGGAGGGCAAGAATGGTAAAAATTTGTTCACATGGACCATGGAAAATTCCTCCATTGTTTGCAATAACAGTCACATTCCAAAACAGAAAGGTCTTCTCCATCGTTCTGGCGACTGGAGTCATGTTAACTATCTCATCACCGACAAGACAAGTGACTTAGAAAGGTGCTAATGGGGAGTTGCCAAAGAGATATCAATCTGCTTTAATGTGGAGAGTCAGAGAAAAAATCTGATCTCCATTACTGCCCTCCAACTCTCAAAGGCTGCTCCTCTTAATATGAATTCTCAGTTGGCGTTCATGGAGACAAAAGTTATAAAGAAGTGACCGTGCACTTTGAGGAAACAGAGGCTCTCACGTTTGCAGGAGTCAGGGGCCGTTTTTGGATGAGCAGGGTCTCTGTAGAAACCCGTCTTGCAGTTCTGGCAGTGGCGGCCCTCTGTGTTGTGGCGGCAGCTGTCACACACGCCGCCGCTCCGTCGTCCGGTGACCAGCCACAACCCACGGCTGAAGTGGCAGCTCCTGGCGTGGCCATTACACTTGCACTCTGTGTTTTTTGATAGACATACACCAGGAAAGAAAGAATGAGAAGCTTTCTCATGCAAAAACCTTATCAGAGCAGTGACACAGTAGCTGCTCTGTTATTCACCAAGTATCAGTGTGTCAAAGGTTACAGCTGATTTATGACACTAAATTCATTTTGCAGATAAATCCACATGCTGTGTGTCCTACTCCACGTTTGACTCTCTGCCCCATCACTCACTCTGGCACTCGTGTGGCGTCCCTTTGAGGCCATTGGCAGCCTGCCACAGCCGGTCATTGTAGAGAGGTGCACAGCGCTCACAGTGGTCACCGGCCGTGTTGTGTCTGCACACACACTTACCATGGACCTGCCAGGCACACCAAACAGGAAGAAAATAACCAATTACTTCAGGGTTCATTTTATTGCAACATATTGTTTTATATTATCCTGAGCTATCGCCTGTCCAAATCACACCAAACTCACCACTGCTCTTCCTTGGACCCTTAGCAACACATCTGCCAAGTGTGAAGTGGATACGAGTTCTAGAGATATGCACTTCACGTTCAGACAGACAGAAAAAGGGTTTTATCCTTGAGGTTGGATGTCTATGCGTCTTTGAAGATCCAACTAGGATCCTTTTAAATATATTTGTGTTTCAAAGTCAGTGTGCAGATGTAACTCTTTTCATTACCTCTAACATGGAGGTTATGTTTATACCTGTGGAGGGATTGGGCCATGGTTTTACCCATGTCCATTTGTGTGTTTGTTGGTTGGCTTCTTTGTTTGTTTATCAGCAGGATTATGCAAAAACCACTGAAAAGATTTACATACAACTTTGTTGAAGGACGGGACATGGGCCAAGAACGAACCCATTAACATGTGGCATGGATCCAGACAAAGGGACGGAGCCAAGATTTTGTTTTTCACTTTCTTTACCATTGTGAGATATGATGTTTTTCACCAATTTCCAGGGGAATAATTCATGATTCAGGAAAAATCATGTTTATTCAGAGGACTGATATCTGTGTGTATAAATTGGTGAAGATTGATTGAACTTAAGGGGAGTGTTGGGCCTTGGTGGAGGTATGTGCTTGACTGAGAGCCATTCTTGTTCATGCTGAACAGTCTTGCACTCATATGTTATGTGAGTATAACAGCCCTCCTTCTTAGTTGCAACATACTAACATCTATATAGATAATCACTGTGTTTACATGCTGTGCAGCTTATTCCTGCCTGTGTAACTTTTTCACACCCCCTCAGGTCATGTTGGAATTACACTATTTCTCCTTTTCTCCATTTACAGTGAAGAGAATAACACGACAGCAGCTCAGGGTTGTTAAAGCATTATGTTGAAAACCATAATTAAAGTTTTCACATCCTAAATCCCTGAAATGGCAGGTAAATCTATGGCCTAATATATAGTAGCTTCACCTCAACCCTCAGCTCCAGCAGCACGCACGAAAGCTCACTTGAGTAACAAGGGTGTGGTGGGAACAAAAGCCCCCAAATCCTTCTCCTCCCAATCCCACCACATCAACAGAAATGCAGACAAACAGACAGTCAGCAAGTCACAACATCTGAGTGTGATGAATTCTCACCAAAGAACAAACTGTACAAGTGTGTTTTGTTAGTGGAATCTCGTGCACCTGTGAGATGTACGTTCACAGAATCCAGCTGAAAAAGGCTCACCATGTTACTCGTCCTCTGCTGGCTGGTTTGGTAGCTCCTGGATGGAACGCATTGGTCAGCGTGTCCATTGCAAAGGCAGCTGCCTTTGACAATGAAATCATAAATGGCGTAGTGGTTTGTGGGGAGCGCAGCAGCACCGGGGTGTTTGGCCTGGCAGGGACACGGCTGGCGCTGCAGCAGGCGGACTCTCAGGTTGGTGATCATGAGCTGGTCCTGAGCAGATGGTCCGTAGGGATCCACTGACTGCCAGGGAGATAAGGCTCGATAGATCACCTGGAAATGAAATGATGAGAAATCTCACAAAACCTGTGTTGTTTCACTTGTAAACAATGCATTTAAAAAGTGAAAAATATTATCTTAAAGACAGACCAGGATGAAAATGTAAATAATGGAGATTTATTTTTGTGTGTAATCTGCCAAATAAATAACAGACAGGAGCTAATTTTCCTTAATGTTTTTTAAAATAGTTCCCATGTAAAGACGCTCAAATGGTTCTTGTTCGCAGGCATTAACTTTATTCCCATGTTGATGTTTCAGATTCATGAAAACTACTCCTTCAACATTATAACATCACAAATAAAAACTGACACAAAGCAACAAGCTTTTTTTCAATCAAATTCTCACTGCAGTTCTGTGCATCACCACTGTTATTTGAAAAATACCTTTAGGGAATTACTATACAAAGATAATCATCTTGCATAATGTCTTGTGAAATAAATGAATACCAGTAACACTAAATTAAATATTTTATAAATCTGGATGTAGGTGGGACTTTATAATGCAAGGACTCTCCCAGGGGTGCACATACAGGTGTCCCACAATCTGTCCCATAATCCAACAATTTTAAGGCACTTTTATGTCTCAAAAGCACTAAAAAAAATACAAAGAAACAAAATACATGT